ATTACGTGAAAATTGAAAAAAGAATTATCACAGTTTAAACTATGTGGCCACATAGGTGTATTTCATGCGATCGCATAGGCCAGTATTCCGCCCTCCTTTGGTCACGGTATGAGTTCATGCGGTCACATCTCATATAGCTATGGGTCGTATAGTTGTTAGTATTGCCTCCAAGTTTTGAGTTCTTTATGCCAAAGCATTCCAACTTGTTTTTGCTCCCATGCCTAACATAGAACTTGGTCTTTGGCTTATCAACTTTACCCTTTTGGACTCCATAGCATGAACGAGTGATTTTATGAATTTATTGACCCTATTTGATCTCGGATTTTTCCTTAGCCGCTTCTCAACATACATCAACCCCTCGATATTTTGTTGCCTTCCTTGGATCACATTATCACCTTCCACTTCGAAAGAATTCCACCTCGGATATGTACATGTATCAAAGAGAGCAAGTTATGAGACAACAAAAATGTAAATTATCACAAACTTACCTTGAAGATCCAAATTGTAGCCATTGTTTTCAATCTTGGCCATGACGTGGAATGGTCCATCTCCTCGAGGATGAAATCTTGACCTCCTTTGCAATCGAACAAGCCATTTTTACTTAAGCATCCAAACCCAAACTCTTGGTTCAAATACTTTACGCGTCTTCCTTTTACTACCTTGAGATGCATATATTTCAATCCACTACTTTCCATCTAAGCTACCACTTACAATAATAGTTAAATGAATTAAACTAAACAAAGTTAACGGATTTAAACCATAAATCTTATCAAATCTCATAGTAAAAGTAGTAGATGATACTAAATTGGCTTCTAACATATTCCATAAAGTCGAACCAAAATAGTTAAAGACTTCAAGATTAAAGTATAAATTCTCATGCCTTAAATCACCAACAATGCACCCCAAATATCTATCATGCTCAATTAATTTCATGCAACATACTAGAATATCATTAACTAGTAATTGATTGCCCATGAATATATATAACAAATGACTTATTACTCTCATAGAAATAGTAGATGCATTAATATATATAAAAGTACATGCTCCATGTGAAAACAATATTACTATATGGGGTATTGATTCTTTACCATGTCATAGTGGAATGCTTCTCCTTCAATGCTCATTAAATTCTCCACTTGTATC